TACAGAGGTTTAAAACTAGGGTACCATGCATGCCAGGCAAGTACTGTACCACCTGAGCTTTGTCCCCAGCCTCGGGACAACAGACAGCCTCGGAAAGGGAGAGATGCTCAATACATTCACTGCACCCTCCCATCCTCAGGATGACTACAATTTCAGCAACACAGGAACGTCAAAAAGGTCATCTCAAATTTGAAGAAAGGCCTTACATTTCTGTTGATTCTCTGGACTCCCTAAATAGCCTAACCGGGCTGACAGGAAGTCCTTCCCGATGTCTAGCTACTTCTCTTTCTAAAAGAGTTAAAGCTTGCCAAAGCAGGATGAAAGCAAAGCCAGTCTCGTGTTTGTCAGGGGAAATTCCACAGCCTCAAAGTCTATCTATGAACTTCGTGTCTCCTGGACCCTTGAAGGATCATGCTGTCCTGCTCACAACTCTAAATAGCTCAGCACTAAACTGAACCCGTCACTTGGGAGCAGGTTCTGCTCCGCAGGATCAAAACACCTTGTATGCGCAGATGCCCTTTCCAAATTCCTGAACACCTCCAAGAGGCCACAAGTGTCCAACTAAAAAGCAAGGAGACTGATTGGCCTGGAAGCCGGGCGTGGGCTCCGATCCCCTTTAACTCCCTCCCTCTCAGTATCCTCTTAGGTAAAAGGAGCCTCTGAGAACTACTTTGCAGTCTGGTTGGGAACAGTTAACAGGCTGAGGGTGGAGCGTTGCTGTAGAGCACATGCCTTACCCACCCTGAGAAGCGTCAGGATGAAGTCCTCGGAGCTCCTGTCTGTAGGAAGGCCTGGGACACAAAGCCAAGGATGGGCCTGTGTGGGCCTCAATGCTCTCCCCAACACGTCTCCACTCACTGCATCCTCAGCCCCACCCTGTGATGTAACCTCCATTGTCAGCCCCCTTTTATGGAAGAGACTGAGAAGCCGCGGGATGGAGGAAAGAGTAGATTTGGATGATTCCCATCTAGGTGGGAAGGATGGCTCAGTGGTCAAAAGCACTTGCTGCTCTTGCAGAAAACCTGGGTCCGATTCCCAGCACCCACATGGTGGCTCACCACCATCTGTAACTCCAGTTTCAGGATATCTGACAACTTCCGGTCTCCTCAGGCTCCACCATATATGCGTATATGTGCACATGCACACACCTAGGCAAAACCCTCATACACTTTGAAGCAAAAATAAAGAAGCATGTGAAGATCCCATCAACCGTCAATCAAAGACAACTATCCAATGACAATTTCCATCAAAAACACTGTCCTAAGATTTCTACTCTTTATGTAGTATAAGCTTCTGGTACCTGAAAGACATTCCTGCAGAAATGTCTGACCCACAGATGGCAGGGGCAGTAGTGAGCAATGGATGAGACTTGCCCAGAGCCCCGGAAGCGGGAGGTCCCTAGGGCAGGGCAGCCGGGCCTCACGAATCTCCTTTAAGACCATCTGTGGCGAGAGGCAGGAAGCCCTTCTTGCTCCCAATTAGCCAGCAACAGAGACTTGAAGCGGGGCCAGCCCCAAGGCCGGAGGAGCAAGCCTGGCTGTAACCAGCATTGTTTAGCTCTGTGTGACGCATATCCACCTCCCAGTCATGTTTCCTTGTTCCCGGGAAAAGCTCAGGGATGGACACTGACAGGGAGGTAGGGAAGGAAGGCAGCCACAGACCCGGCTCCCGCTGCCTCCGAGAGCAGGCAGGTCGGAGATGAGGAGCGAAAGCGCCCATCAGATAGAGACTCCGTGACCCAGAGACACCCACAGACAACACAGGGATGACCACACACAGCTCTCGATGCCCCAGGCACCACACGCTCCGCACCCAGCACACACACACACACACACACACACACACACACACACACACACACCAACCACAACACTTTGCCAGATGCAAAGTCACTCCCTGGCCCTCTGGCCCAACCCCAGAACAGGCTCGTGAAGGCACTGCCAGCACATCCAGCTGCCTGTGTGACCCAGAGCACTGAGAAGCCAGGGCCAAGTGCAGCAGGGAGCCAGATGTGGGAAAGCCGTAGATGAAAGTGAACTGGAGGTCTGAGGGTCCTAGAGGCACCATCACGTCTCTGCACCCCCCCACCCCTCCCCAAATACCTAAAAGAACCGGGCCCTCTCCTGCAGCCCGAGGCAGTAACAGATTACCCTTAAGCTTGAACTTGCTGGTTGCCTGAGCCCTGCCTATCCTGGAGGAACAGAAGGGAGAATGTTCACACACACACACACACACACACACACACACACACACACACACATATAAACACATACGCACAGAGGGCTAAAAGTGTCCGAACCGATCATTGCAAGCAGAAACAGCTTCAAAAGTACGCAAGCGCCAAAAAAAAAAAAACCCCAGGAATTTTAGTATCGGGATCTACTGGACGGGTGATCCATTTTAATGCACCAGACACAAGTGATTCCCCTTTTTCCACAGGAAGCCACCCAAACTTAAATCAGAGTGGGTCGGCCGAGGTCGCACAGCTGGGAGGGGCTGAGCTAGACGCTAATGCAGATGCACCAGACTGCAGACTCTGTGCCCTTTAGCAAGCCCGCCACGAGTTCGAGGCAGCCGCTCACCCTTGCTGAGAAGGGGTGAGAGCCCAGATGGTAGGTCGGACTAATACAGCCGGAACCATGGGGGCATGGATGGGGGCACGGCCAAGGCTTGGATCCCACCAGGACCCTCTACTCAAAACAAGGGGGAGGGGGAGGGTGGAGCTCGGGTTCTGAGTTTGTGATTCAGCCACCTCTGGGGAGCATTCCAGCCCTCCAGTCCCACTCACAGGCGTCTAAGAGCCACCTGCCCTGGAGACACCAGCCATTACTCACAAGTTACTCACTTAGCCTTGGCGTTCACCCTACCAAGTCAAACCTCCCACTCTGTTCCCTGAGAGTGGCCATGGAGAAGCCAGAAGGTCCACGGTCCCCCGCCCTCTGGCCAGAGCATCCCCATCTGAGTCACAGGGGCACACCAGACTCTGGCCTGCTCACAGTAACAGCTGTCGCCCTCTGCTCTGTTCCAAGAAACAGATGCCTAAAGGAATGGTCACTGTCCCTAGACACACAACAGCCCAACCCAGGACCAGGAGGGAGCTTCCCAGCATCTCTGCCAGGATCCCAGGGATGCTGGAAGATACCCGGGAGCCCATCTCTATAAGACAGATCTTCCCAGGCACAAGAACAGGAACCTACATTCAGAAAGCTCCACGGCATGGCTCGGCTAGGCCCAGCCCCTCCTTCCACAGATGTTCGGAAAGGGAAATTAAACTGTCGAAAGTTGCACAGTGTCAAAATGGGCAACCACCAGCCTGACCCTCCATTCCACAACCACATTCAGCAACACCTCCCCTACCTCAGGTAGGCACAGTCTCCCCCAATCTCTCCCTGTTGCAGAGCTACTACAGTCCCCACAGTGGGAGTAGCAATTCAGGAGGAGAAGAGGAGGCCTGGAGATAGTGCCGCCAGGTCAGTCACTAAGAGAGTTGGGGCTTGAGCTAGCGCCAGAAGCAGGCATCAGTCTTAAAGACAAGAGACAGAGCCCAGGACCTCTGGTTACAGGTTGATGACCAGGCCCTCTGGCACAAGACAAGGGGTAGAATTCTTGGGGTCCCAGGTGGGAAATTTCAAGAGTCCTGGCTTCCTCCTGCTCACCTCTCCTCCTTCATTCCCACTCTCCCTCACCCCTAACTATCAGGGCCCCTCCACTCCCATATTCTGCTCAGCCACGGAGCTCGGGGGCAGCGACTGCCACGTATGTGGCTGTCCAAAGGGTGGCTAAGCCATGGAGGAGTTCACCCATCTCTGGTGTTCTCCCACCCACCTCTGGTAGCAGCTGCTACATTCAGCCCCAGCCAGGAGCCCCCCGTCTCCTGATCTGCTCCCTCCCCTGGCATCAACGACAGCAGCAGCCACAGCGACAGAGGTCACTGAGTGTGGAGCAGGCCAGCCTCACTTCTTCTCTGTTGCCCACATTTCACAGCACAAATAGGAAGCTGTCCATGTCTGCACCGCCGGCCAGAGGCAGAGTCAGGATCCAAAGCCAGACAGCAGGGCTGCAAAGCCTATGACTTAACCCCCAAGACCACATCACCTTAGGATAATCCCCACTCCCAGAAATGAAGGTCCCTGAGATTCCCTCTCCTCCTTCAACATACAGTTCCCTGAGCACTTGTAACTGTGATGTGCTGGCCCCTGGCCTTTGAGACACTCAACATTCCTCCTGGCTTTAAACAGACTGCCCCGTCCCCACCCTCCCCAGCCACTTATATGGGCACTGCTGACTTCCAGCAGACAGGCTCCTATACCAGACTAAGGGATACTCGTGACCATTCACTCATTCATTCAACCAGTGGACCTACTGTGTTCGGGGACCCACAGTAAAAAGACACCCCCTAAAGGAGCCTCCTGGAACCTGCAAGCTACCCTCAGTCCACCTCACTTCACCACAGCTCATTAAAAAGCCTTGTTGGGGAGGGCTTCCACAACCAGCAGGCTCTGGTCTCAGGGCACAAGAAGTCCAGCCGGGCACAGGAACGCCAAGAGGACTTCCCAGTCCCAGGGGTTAAGGACACAGGTGTAGAACACAGGTCCCGGCTGGAGCTCATTCCCAGGCCTCCCCATCCAACCCCTTCCCGAGCCACAACCCCATCATCTCTCTCCTACGTTAAGCATCCCTCTGCTGCTCCCTACTTTGACTCGGCCCAGGAGATCTCCCACTCCTCGCCACCCAAGCAAGACCTCTGGGCTCTCCCCCAAAGACACTCTTTGTTATAGGTTCCCTCTTTAAACCGCATTTACTGTGCCAAGCATTTTGCACACAGAATTTTGTCTCAACTTCCCCCACAGCACACAACAAGGCTGCGCTGGAATGTGACCCTCATCTTACAGACCCGGACACCGAGGCCCGGCCGATGTCACGCAGGAAGGAAGTAGCAAAGCTGGAAGGGACAGACGGCCGTGATGTGGCCCATCCTTACGCGCATGCGTGCCCCATACCTGAACAAGTCCTTCCGTCAAACTCCTTCTCAACCTTCCAAGTCCATTTCAAAGGGCTCTTCCTCTCAGAGACCTCAGCTACTCCACCAACTCACGCAAACAGCTTCCTGTACCCCCCTTCTGCTGCCTGCAGAGGAGCTATCTACTCCCCCTTGTCTCCCACTCGAAGGTGTCTCGATGGCCTTTCCAGCCCCAGATCTGGCACCCTGCCTGGCACAAAGTAGATGCCCTAAAAGGCTGTTACTGTGAAATCAGGATGGCCCCCCAGGCCCAGCTGGATTGGCCCGGGGTTCCAAGCCTCCTCAGCAAACTCATGGGCATTGCCGGACCCAAGCAGCCCAGACCCAGCCGCCCATCTCCTCCAGACCCAGATGGCAGGCAGGCAGCCAGGGCCCTGGTCTCATACCCCCCCCTTAGCCCAGCTCCTCTCTGCTTCACCAGCTCCGCAGATTCTGGGAGTCTCAGCCGGTGATTAGGGCCCTAATCAGGCAGGACTTCCTGCCAGCCACTGCCAGAGGTGGGGGCGGGGCGGGAGGGAAGCAAGGTCAACCCAAGGTGAAGTTTCACAGCCAGGGACCCAAGGAGCCCCCCTCAGCCCCCCACCGGCAGATGCACTTTAGAAGCAACCAGCACTACACCTCTGCAATCCTCTGGCTGCTAAGTGAGGACATTGAAGCCCAGAGAGCAAAAAGACTCAGCCACCCCGGGCAGAGCCGAGCCAGCCTGAGATCTGTCGGTAGGAAGAGCACCATTCCTGTACTGCCTTGGGCCAGGGTGCTCCCAAGGTGGAGAACCTCCGCTCACTCACTCCCACCCCCACCACCACCCACCCACCCCCAGAACCTCAGCCATAGTCCTGCCCCCTGATAGCACCAAACTCAGCACTGAACCTCAGCCCTCTCCCTGAAGGGTGGCTATGGGCCAGCCGATTGCCTGGGCTGGTGGAAGATGTATTCAAGGTGAGGCTCACTTCTCATCTCTCAAGGATCAACAGTCCAGAAGGGCAGAGGGGAGCCAGGCAGAGGAAGGGAGCCAGAGACAGCCCTCCCAGTGGTCATCATGATCAGCCTAAGACCATTCTTCCCTTCAAAAGAATGCCTGATGCTTTTTGCAGCTGCAACTGGGCGGGCCAGGGGTCCGGAAACTGTGTTCACCCCTGACCCAGAGCGACCTCAGCCTCCTGGGTGGGGAATCTCTGGGTAAGAGATCAGGCCAAGAAGCTGATCTTTAGCGAAGGAATGGCAGAGACACCAGAAAGCCATGGACCCCAAGGAGGGTAGAGGCCTGGGAGGGAAGTGGGACTAGCTAAGAGACCTACGGACCAATCCTCAAAGCTCTCAGCTCCTGTGTACACAGGGAGGGCTGGGGTAGTTATCCCCACCCCTTACCAACAAGGGACCAAGTTAGATTGTAGCAAGAGGCATGCTGGTCGGTCTTCAAGGAGCCCCGGAGGGTCTAAGTCAGCTGCAATGGTTACTTGGGACCCCCTCTCTAAAACATAAAAGTCCCCATGGCTACGGTCAAGGATAGCCTATTTGGAGACAGGCTGGGCCCTTGCCAGGCCTGGGAGGCTCTAATGCAAGCAGTGGCTGTCTGAAGGGTGGGGAGGGATCCCAGAGGGACTTGTTTACGAGGATGGCAACTTTCTCAGAACCCTCCATAAACACATATCTGCTCCAGCTCCCTAGGGGGGACAAGCCTAAGGTCCCCTCCATTCCAGGCCTTCCTCCTAAGGAGGCAAAGTCAGAGAAGGAAGACACTGCTCGGATATCAGAGCCCCTTAAGGGAAGCCCGTGGAATCCTGACCGACACTCTTCTCCATCGTAGGGAAGAAACAACCGTGATAAGAGAGAACGGAGCCAGCCACGAGGCATGGTCTGGAACGAAGGATATCCACTAATAAGAACACTTACCAGTGTTAACTAACAAAGCACTTTGGCTTTTTGTTTTGTTTTGGATGTTTGTTTTTGCGGCAGGGTTTTACGTATCTTAAGCTGAACTTCGAACTTACTTTACAGTCACAGATGATCTCGAACCCCTGATCCTCCTGCCTCTACCTTCTCAGTGTGGTCATTACAGGTGTCTACCACCACACCAAACGTATGCAGTGCTGGGGAAAGAACGCAGAGTTCTGTGCATGCTAGGCAAGCAGGCTACCTGCTGACCTGCACCCCGTACTTCAAAGCACTTGAAATCAACGAATTCATTCAAACTCCATGCCCATGCCATGAGGCAAAGACTACGGTCCCACATTAGAGAGAAAGCTGGGCCTCAGAGAAGCCTAATCTCTGGTTGAGACCACACAGCCAGCAGGTAGGAATGGTTGCCACAGGCAGGTCCCCAGCAGCCTGGCTCCAGCTGCATGCCCTCCATCTGCCTTGCTCCATCCACACTTTGGAGGAAAGGCAGCCTTGTTTGCAGGCTAGCAGCTTTTCAGCAGGCCTGTCCCAAACCCTCAGGTCCTCCGGCCTCAGCTGGTACCCAGCTGGTATCACCTGGGAAGCAAAGGCCATGACACAGCCAGGTGACAGACCTACAGGACAGAACAGGGGACACTGGAAGCATATGGGTGTCCCACATGCACTCCAAGAGGAGGCCAGGAAGGCCCCTGGAGGAAGCTTCCAGTGGCCAGGAGTGGTGAGCTCACCGCGGCCCTCCTGCAGCCCTCATCTGGTCAGATCCCTGGATCCACCCTTCTGCACCAGCCCCTGGCCTACCCAGTGCTCGGGCCTGAGCTGCAAGCTCAAAGCCCTAAAAAGGCAGGGAACACACAGCCCCGTGGAGCCCTGCAGGAGGAAGGGCCAGCGACTGACCCAATCCCCTCCCATGACAGTTCCAACTCCCTCACAGAAACCAAGGTGAGGACAAGGAGGGAGACGGCCAAGAACCAGCCGCCCCAGAGGCTCCAGTGCGAGCACAGGGTGTCCGTGGAGGCAGCCCAGCCTATCACGCTGGCATCCCTGCCACCCCCATCATTCCTTTCCCAGCTGGCCTATGCCCACACCTCTACATGCCTAATGGCTCTGGAAAGCTAAAAGAGCCAGCCAGCCAGGGAGCCATGGAGCCAGAGGCCTCAGGGGATAATGCTGGGGACAAAGTGGAGGCCTGTCCCTCCCCAGTGTCTAAAAACAAACTTCTCTCTCCCCCAGAGTCACACTCCCTTCTGATTTGTTTGGTTTCGTTGGGGGCGGGGTCATGGGGAGGGGAAACCCTGCCTATCTCCTGACAAATCTCTGTCCTCCATCCCCAAATCCTCAGTTTCCCTTCCTGGGGCCGAGAAAACGTAAGTGAGAGGCAACAATGAACCCGCAGCTCAGCCCCTGCCTCCACTCAGCCCTCACATTCCTCCCCTGCTCTCCCTCATCACTGGGTCCCTTTCATCCAGAAGGAAAAATGCCCCGATTAAGAAGCCTCTCCTACCTACCTCCTGGCTGTAGACAAGGGATGAAAGTTAGACAATGAGAAGGACTTCCCCTGCAGAGGAAGCCAGAAGGCTGAGAGGTACTGCCCTGCCCTGACTGGAGGCAGAGGGCTCTGGGCAGTAACCTCAGACTCTGGCTCCATGCTCGGGAGCAAAGGGGCCACAGGGCATTCATAGAATGGATTGTGGGGAGAGGCAAGCTGGGTAGGCAGGGTGGGCTAGAAAGGATGGAGCCCAGGGAGGGTCCTAAACCCCAAGGGAAGCATCAGGGGACGGATGGACGGATGGGCGGACGGACGGACGGACGGACGGACGGGGACACACACACACACACACACACACACACACACACACACACACACACACACGCTTCCCTGTAGGAAGCCACACCCCCAGCACTGAGTTGGGGAAGTACCAACCCCCCATTGCCTCTCCTTCCCAGGGAAAACAGGTTTGAAGAGGCCACGGGGAGGTCACCTGTTCCTCTCCTACCCCTCCAGAGAGACTCTTGAGAACAACAAATGCCCTTGGCTCCTTCCCCACCCCCACCTCTCCCCCCACACCCTGCTTATTACACAAGTCGCTTAGTGAAACCTTGACAACCCTCAAGTATTTGGGAAGAGGGAAACTGAGGCCTGCCCCTGGGTTCTCCGGGATCTCTGAGTCTGGCATCACTCATCCGCCCGCCATCTCCAACAGCTGAGGAGGATACTCCTCTGGGCTACTCCGAGGAGGGTCTCAGAACGCCCAACATGGAAACCACTTCTGGTCCTCAGATGCTGGAGACCTGTGACGCCTGCCATCCCCTCCCCTTTACCCTGTGCCCGGTGCCCAAGGGTTCCGTCCGGCCTTCCAGGAGTTAACCACAGAGCCAGGGTGGCCATGAGGAAGCACCTCACAGCAGCAGTACAGGAAGCAGCCGGGGGGCAGAGCTGGTGGGCAGTCGGCTCTGGATGCCAGGGAGAGGCGTCTCAAGGGCTCTCTAGTCCCCAGTGCGGTCAGAGGGCGACCCTGTGAGTCCTCACCCATGCTCGAAGCCCGAAGCCACAACTCTGACCCCCCATTCCAAGCCCCCATTCCAGAGCCAGAGAACTCCCCAACCCTAAGAATCCCAGGACCTCAGCATCCCCAGAGACCTCAAAGGTCGTCTTTCTCACCACATCTCAGGGCAGGAATCCTTCCACAGTGTCCAGCTTGTCTCAACTGCCCCTTGGGACAGGCCACTCATTACCTTACACCAAAGCCCACCCTCTCGCTGACCAGCAAGAGCTTCTGGAAGCTCCCGTTTAAACCCTCAGTCTCCCAAGGCAAATCTCCATCCCCAACTCTCCCTAGCTCCCTGAACGAAGTCCGTTGATGCCGGGTGCCCCCCCAGAACAGCAGCTTCCTCCCTAATCTCCCGGGGACCTTATCTCAGCCCATCCCTCCTGCCTATCACCCCACATTGAGTTCTGCTCTAAGGCTCCAAGGCAGGTGGGTTATGAAGTATGGGGCAAAGGTTAGGAAAAGAGTGGTCAGAAGTTCAAGGCCAGGACTAGGGGAGTCAGAAAGATTCCTAGGCTATGCCCTACACCACCCAAGAATCCTCAATTTCAGATCAAAGTCCTGCCCTAACCCCTCCCCTCGCCCCTGCCGCCGCCACCGCCAACTCCTTCTCCATTGACCATGTTGGGAACCCGGTGTTAGTGGGTTCTCCCACCTGGAGGGCTCCCCCACCCTGCTTTGGGCCAGAGGGGTTAGGGCTAAGAGTCCTTGGGCTGTCGTAAGCTTTGAGTCGTGGGGGAGAGCTGGGGTCCGGGAGACAAGTCAGCTGGCAAAGGGCAGGAGGCCCTGAGAACTGGAGGCCAAGTCTGAGCCACAATGGTCCCCACCCCACCTCCAGGCAGCTTCAGGAAGGGGAAAGGGCCCTCCCTCCCACCTCCCACCCCACCTCTGC